CATCACTTCCGGTGGGCATTTTGTTTGCGGATCACATCATTTATATTTCAGAAATGAGTCATAAATATTTTTACTATTCAAAGAAGCATCTGAGGGCTCTGAAAATATATTGAAATAAACAGAAAGTGGTTATTAACTATGATGGAGCATAGGAAGAAAATAAATATTTAAAATAATTAAAGATAAAAATTAAGGGATTGGGTGGAAAAACGACAAAATAAATATTTAATGTTTTAGAGTCATTAAAAAATAGTCAAAAAAATAGTTTGTATCATGTAAGTTTACCAATTTGTATCATAATTTTGTTTTTCTCTTATAAACTTGACAAATTTACTAGAAAACTTGACGTTTTTTTCTTTTGTATTTCCCATTTTCCCACCTTTTTTTTTTTATTTCTTTAAGTTTCGCAGTTTTTACTGTTTTCTTTTTTGAGAGTTAACACAAACCGGATGTGACGCTTCCGCTCGGCGCTCTGCTCTCGTGCATGCTCAGTGTTTGATTGCTCTAGTCTGCGCTCCAGTGTGTTGTTAGCCGTTTGCTACTGCTGCTGTTCGAGTGCGCACGGTTTTATTTTGTCACCGGACTACCACTATAAGTATTTGTCGACCACCCCGCTGGATAAATAGACACCGAGCCCGGGACTTAGGATGTCCACTGCGCTGGAGAGCTACATTAACCGTATCCTTCCGCTGTTAGCCACTAATGTGCAAACCCTCTGAATGAATGGGAAAATGCTAGTTAGCTTAGCTGCATACTTACTTGTTTTGTTAATTAGCGGCAGTTCAGAGATGTCTGTGAGAAACGGGTTGCTCAGAGCTGAGTTAAAACATGTTCAGACTTCTTAAATGTAGGTTTCACATTCACAAGAAGGAAAATCTCGTGATTTTATTGCTGTGTTTATATTATTTGGACCCGCTGATCAGAGAAGTTCTGTAAATGATTTCACAGTTTGATTCATCAGGACTCATCACATCTGGACCACTTTGAAAAATTGTAAAATCTTAAGCTTTTTTTTTTCTTTTTTCTTTTTTTAAATTTTGGAACCATACAACCTACAGTTTTAAAGCTGGAGCTCATTAACAGACAGAAGCTAAGGTTACAAGCGCCTCTTGTGGCCAGAATGGGTGGGCGGGATAGCTTTCAATTTTGGTGTGATGATAATTGTTTCTATTTGTAGGTTCTGAATAATATTAGAGAGGTTTTGGTCCATAAAGGTGCTGTTTCTTTAACTCGTGCTGATCCAGGTACCGTGGCCATTGTCACCTCGGACGGCAGGATGATTGTGGTGAGTCTGAACACATCCTCATCAGAACTCCACCACTCACAATATTTGGGATTCAGTGAAGTCAGAATTATTTTGGATGTTAACTTTTTGTTATTGTAAGTTGTGTTCATGTCAGTTTGTTTGTTTTTCAGGGCACTCTGAAGGGCTTTGATCAGACCATCAACCTGATCCTGGATGAGAGTCACGAGAGAGTGTTCAGCTCCAGTCAGGGGGTTGAGCAGGTGGTGCTGGGACTCTACATTGTCCGAGGTGACAACGTGTAAGTCACGTTTGACCTTTGTTGATGATGAATCAATACTGAAGACAAAAGATTAGTGAGGCCTTAATGTAAATTTTAATCTACAGAATCAGATTAACATGATTTACTAATTTTATTATTTTATAAAGATATAATTTATTATTGCAAAACAGGATAATTAAGAGTTAAGAAAAAATGTAAAAGTTTTTTTCTGTGATGCTTTAAGGATGAATGCTGTGGTTGCACATTTGATCCGGATACCCCTATCAGAGTTTTGTTTTTGTTTGTTTAAAATTATTTTTATGAAGGAAAACCAAGAGAGACTCTTATTCTTAAACGATAAGGAAAATGATGTGTGGGGATCCATACATACATGATAGATGTAGATTTGTTACATGTTGTTTTACTTTAATGAACAAAAAATATTGTTGTTAACAGTTCTGTTATGTAGTTTGTTTATCATTGTTTATTGTTTTCCTTTTGTTTTTATTTGTTCTTCCTGTTTGTTTTTGTTTGTAATCCTCTCGTTTGTTTTCGTGGTTACATTTTTTTTTCTTGTTTTGGTTACAGTGCGGTGATTGGGGAGATCGATGAGGAGACGGACTCCACTCTGGATTTAGGAAACATCAGAGCTGAGCCCCTCAACTCTGTCGTCCACTGACCTTTGACCCCTGATGACAGCGTGACTGTTGTGTGAATAAAGTTTATGGAAGTCTGTTTTAGGAGCGGGTGTGCTAATTATCCGGGACCAGCCGGAGCATCCTGATAACTTGCTCGCCTGCTTCCTGTCTCTGACTCCTGGCTCTTGTTTTCTGTTTGTACTTTTTATAAATAAAGAAGTGAGATGATGAAAATGTTAGAGGAACTTTTTTATGCTCCTAAGTCTTTTTGTCAATGTGAGACTGTTAATAAAGTTTAATTTGTTGTGTTCTGAAAAAGAAAAGCGTTTTTGTTTTGTTTGTTTACTCAACAAAAATGTTTGACAAATTATAATTTTTAGTCAGAGGATGTTGATCAGAGGAAAAAGTGAAAACTTTATGAGAAAGAAATTTGATTCTTAAATTCGAGAAGGAGAAAAATCGAATAGCTTCTGAGATAGAATATGCCACAACCAAGATTCAGTTCTTCAAGAAGCGATTTTTATTTAAACGAAAGATCTGTAGAGCCAGCAATAAAATGACAATTCTAAATGAATCCTTACATCAGTTGCACATCTGAGAGCGAGGAGGAAATAGATGGTGAAAAGATGGCGCGAACATTAAAGGTGTGAGTAACACTGATATCCGTGAAGTGACAGATCGATAAATACTGAAGTTTTACATGAGGGCCATGGTGAGGAAAGCTTAATGGTTAAAAGCAGCTGGATAAAATCACCTGAAGACCAGATAAACTGAGGTAACAAGTTTAAGGATGAGCAGTCGTGAGCACGGAGCCGATCTTTTAATCAGCTCAGCAGGAAGCGGCAGCATCAGAGACGGACGGACCGGTGAGGTCATGGGAGCAGTATTCACATTGTTCCTACAGGCAGATTAAACTCTACAACTTAAAAGTATTAATATGCTAATAAAGTATTAATAGACTGCAGCGGACTGTACGGGCAGCAGAAAGGATCATCGGCACCCCCCTGCCCTCCATCCAGGATCTGTACTTCTCAAGAACCAGGAAACGGGCAGGGAAAATCATCACAGACCCCTCACACCCTGGACACAGACTTTTTGATCTGCTGCCCTCTGGCAGACGGTACAGAAGCCTGCAGACCAGGACCACCCGACACAGGAACAGTTTCTTTCCCCTCGCCATCTCCCTTCTTAACAGTTGACCTGTCACACTGCTCCCAGACTGCAGCTGCACCTTATGTACATTTTGTAGTATTCATTCCACCTCATTTCATTTCTGTATTTTATGTATACAAGTTTAGATTCGTTATTTATAGTTGGTGTACACAGCTTTGTGTATGTATGTGTAATGTGTATATATAGACACGTGTGTGTGTGATTTACATCATTACTGTGCTTGAGAGCCACCATCTACCGGAACCAAATTCCCTGTATGTGTCTGCACATATACTTGGCCAATAAACACGATTCTGATTCTGATGTGTATCAGTGATTCCTGAGATTAGGGACAAAACAGGTTTTAATTTTCTAAAATATATTTTTTGAAAAAAACCCAAACATATTTACGTATAATTGTTACACAAAGTTTTGGCTGTCTCACCATGTTTTGGTACAATCTCCCAGGTGTAATATTTTTTAATAATTTATATTTTTGCTGGAGAAGTGCAAGGTTTTTGTCAACACCATCAGACACAAACAAATGCAAAAATATATATTTTAAGTTGTTTCAGCTATTTTGACTATTAGCAGCATCTCTGTTCTATTGTTTATGCACGTATGTTTTCAAACGAATTATACTATGTTTAAAAGTAAGATTGTTTTGGCTTTTTATTAGTAGCGTTACAGTCATACATATTTTCAGAAAAGCAACAATCCTATTTAGCAGCATGCAAATGACACATTGAGAAAATTACGTATTTTTATTGGAAGATCATGAGGGAGGATAATATACGGTTCTTCAAAAGACAAAAATAAACAAAAAAATCCATATTATGGAGTTGACAAGGTGCTGACGGTGGTGACACACTAATAGAAAACAAAATATTATTTCTTTCAAAATGACCATTAAAGTTTAACAACTTATGTAATATCAGACACATCATAACAATTCTGTTTTTGCACATGTCAAGTTCTACATCTTAATAGTTCACCAGCAAGTAGCTGCCTACTACTCCTTGATACCTAAAGTACTCTGGTTGTGTGTTTGCTTGTTTCCAAAACCTTCTCTTCCTTTTTTCTCTTCATTTCAGATCACTGATGTTCTTTATTTTTCCCTCTTTCACTCTCTTTCTAGATCTTTCCCTTTCCTTTATGAGAAACTCTTTCTTCAACTCAGGCTGGCTGTTAATTTTTTTTCTCCTTTTTTGATCATCCCTGTTCCTCCTCTTTCGTTCCTCTGACAGGTTCCCCTTTGCAATTCTAGCCTGAAATGTACCATTTTGTAATTACTACAATTTTTCTGAACCTTATGCATTTATACAAATTAAGGATGAATATTCACAACACAATTATGTATTAAGCAATAGAGATGCTATCCAGTCTTTAAGTCTGATGTCATTAGCTGTTTCCAGGTCCAAACTCCGCTGCAGATCCCAAAGTCAAAGGAACTCTGCGGCATCACTGAGAGTTACAAACTGTCTAAATTCTTTCTTTCCTTCATCTTTAATATGAATATCTGCTCTTCCAGGTGTAACATCCAGGCATCCATGAAAACAGAACATATGAAATTTAACAGAGTTAGAAGTTAGCTCGCTGGTTTCCACCTACATTCCAACATAAATGAAGCCAGAAAACTAAACAACAGTGACTTTTGCAGGGTTACTGAAGGGTTACTGAATTTCGACTAGCTGGTATATAATGATGTGCTACGTGATCGCTGGTGACACAGCTATGTTAGCATAACATAAACACAGTGAAGCTGGAGGATGGACGCTAAATTCTTTCCACTCGATAAAAGGTAATGCAAGGGTTTCTGATGGTTAGGCTGACAGTGATCACTGACTGTTTTTAGGGGCTTGTTCAGATTAAATAGAACAAGATAAAAAGCAATAAAACATGTTAAAAGCACAACAGCCTTAATAAATAGAGTAGTTTGGGCCCAGAAGCAGGATTCATCCATCATCACTTAAAGATCAGCTCTTGGGGCACAGCTAGCTCAGTAGATGCCACATGATGGAAGGTTGGGCGTTCAAATCCAACAAACAGCGGCTATCCTCGATTGGTAGCTGCCCACTGCATCACTGAGTGAATGGGTTGAATGCAGAGAACTAAGCATTTTCCTACAGGAATAATAAAGTTCAATTTCAATTCAATTCAATTTTATTTATATAGCGCCAAATCACAACAAAAGTCGCCTCAACGCGCTTTATAGACATAGTATACATAAACAATGAGATTCAAGATAATGCAAATTCGATAATATTCAACACATCTGTAAAGCAGAAATATCAGTAAAATACACAGAAAGTAATATGACTGAAATATTAATTAAAATAACTTAATATAATTAGTGAATGGGACACTTTTGTGGCATTTGTCAACACCACTGGAAATGGGTCAACACTGTCAGGCAAAAATCCTGATGGTGTTGACACCCTACTTTCTCTCATAACACATGTTTTTCTGACAGAAGCCATCTTGTTTTGCATCATTTGCTTATGGCCTCTACAATCTACCTAAATTAAGCTCTTTTTATAAAAAAAGATACTTAAATCTTGCATTTCATCGACTTTGGTGTTGACACACTATGGTTGTGACACAGGGTTTTCTCAGAAAGGTATGCAATAAATGAAATAAAAAAACAAAAAAACCTTATCACAGTAGTGACCTCATGGCATGTGTATCAAACAGGAAGTGGTAAAGGGGTCCTCAGAGTGTAAGCTAACCACAATAATTCCTGATTTTTTTGTACTTTTAAAAAAATCTGATGGTGTTGACAAAAACTCTGGACACGATTTTAATCACTTAAAAAATATGTAAAAATAAATTTTCAATTGCATATTTTGATATTATATAAGATATTGACTTAAATATTTAGTGACGAGAGCCATGATGTTTACATTTTGAATTACTTTAAATTTTTTTTCTGTATTTTAATATTATCACACCTGCTTTTGGACAATGGATTTTTAAGGTACTGGTAATGTATTGTACCATTTAAAATAAATGTATATGTATAAAAAATGCAAAATCATAATTTTGTTGTATAAACATTGCCTTGGTTTTTCTTTCAGTCAGTCTTGTATGCATATTTTTAACCCTCAAATTGGGTTTTATCTGGCGGACATGTTTTGTCCCTTATCTCAAGAATCACTGGTATTTCTCAGGTAGTATCTTTTCCACCAAAGTGTGTTTCTGTTGTGTTTGTATTTTTTTGTCTGCTCCCACAGTCAAGGCGCTCTCGAGGTGATTCCTTTGGTCTGGGGTCAGCGCCAGATCCTCATAATGGAGCCGCAGCCACGGGTCGCCTGAAAACACACGACTCCATCAGGAGGATGTCCCTCACACCATCAGCAGCAGTAGCAACAGCCTCTTACCTTTTGTGACCCTCTGACCTATAGACACCAGTAGCACCGCCCCCACGCTGTGATTGACAGGCTCTCCAGCCTTTGATCGCCCCGCACCCAATCTGTGAAGCACCTGAGCTAAAGCCAAACCGTCAATCTCCAAAACGATACCTGCAGGAAGACACAGTAAAAATACATGTTATCAAATATGAGGGCTCACATATGTAAGTACACATGTGCAAGTGCATGTGTTGGGATTACATTTTGGATCAAACTCTGACTGTACTTTTCTGTGTTCATATTTTCATCAGTATTGACAACATCCACAGCGCCACTGGCTGAAATGCCCCAAACCATGACTGAGCCTCCACCGTGTTTTACTGATGGCTGCAGACCCTCACTGTTGTACCTCTTTTTGTTCATATTGACTATTTAAACCAAAATGTTCAAATTTGGATTCATCTCTACATCAGACCTCCTGCCACTGATTTTCAGTGCAGTTCTTGTCTAATTTCTGTTGGTAACAAATTATCTTAAAACAAACCCCAAATGTAACTATAATCACAAACTGTGTAACAACCTGCGCTTCAGCATAAAAGTTCCCGTGTCATCAAAGATAGCTGTGTTTGTTAGTTTCTTTAGATTCCTAAACATGATAAATTTCCTTTGTAAGTGCAGGTAGTTCATATTTCCTGAGTGTGTCTTTGAATGCATCAACAGTGAATGGAGGCATTTTATTGGCTTTACCGTCTGCAGGAGCCTTCAGTTCCAGCTGATGCTTCGCTTTTCTCAGGACGCTGTAGTAATCTGCGTTGGTGGAGCACAACAGCTGAGCTGTGTCGCTGTTCACGCCCTGAGCCTCCATCATGGCCTGGAACTTTGACAGCGCTGCTCCACCAACCACAGCTTCGGAAATCTGCTTTCTGCCTTCTGATAGGTCAGACACTAGACCAGTCATCACGAGCAACAAGCCGCCTACAAACACAGACAAAACACATTTTAAATATTTATCATGCTTTCTTTTTTAAATGTACCTAAAGGGAAATTTTTACACCAGTGTAAAATTAAATAAACTTAAAAATAGACTAAAATTAAAGCAAGTTGTTGTCTGTAAAGGTGTGCATGCAGTGGGTTTAGATTCCCATGATGTTTTTACAGCTGTCAGAATTAAGTGTTTGTTTGTTTTTTAATTTTAAACCCAAGTGGTCTATTTTTCTTATTAGCTATAGCAAAAAAATTATTATCATCATTATAGAACTGGTTATCTCATCTAAGGGTAATATTCACTAGGACTCTATAACAAAGGTAACAATGAGATTCTTGTCATGTCTCTGATCTTCACAAAGGAGAGGCTGTTCTGCGTTTTCTAATTTTAATTTTCATGTATAAAGGAAAGGAGCCAGTTGAGGTGGTTCGGGCATCTGACAAGGATGCCCCCTGGGCGCCTCCTGGGTGAGGTGTTCCAGGCATGTCCCACCGGGAGGAGGCCCCGGGGCAGACCCAGGACACGCTGGAGAGATTATATCTCTCGGCTGGCCTGGGAACGCCTTGGAGTTCCCCCAGATAAGCTGGAGGAGGTGGCTGGGGAGAGGGAGGTCTGGGCCTCTTTGCTTAGGCTGCTGCCCCTGCGACCCGGCCTCGGATAAAACGGATGAAGATGGATGGATGGATGGATAGATGTATAAAGAAAGTTACAGGTTTAGATTAGTTCTGTCAGCATTAATCTCGTTAATACAAGGTTAACACCATAACCTCATTAACGCGGCAAATCCCCATTAGCAAGTTAATGCGGATCTGCAATATTAAACAAGTTCAGAGTTTTAAAAAAAGATAAAGAATTATGTGGCAGTAGTTCCTGTGGGTACAAAGTCCAAAAAATACAAGCAGTACAGCTCACAAGCATTGGGTGCTGCTCCTCGGTAGACTGCCAGAAACTGATCAGTCAGAACAAAGTAGGCTTTTAGGGAGGAGGACCTTAAAGAGACGGGAGGTAAACTGAGGGGCTGCATACTGTGTAAAATAATAATTTTCTTTTTCTTAATCAGAGGGCATCTGTATGGAGTGCAATATTTAAAACTATATAGAGCTAGGAGAAGAATGAAGATAAGATACATTTTATTTATCCATAATCTTTAACGTTAACTCGACACTGCAAATTATCTGGCTTGCTGCTAGAAGAGGTAAACAGGCAGGTGGCACAAAAGAGATGCTGCAACGTTATTAGACCGCAGCTGTACTTAATAAAGTGGCCATGGGTGTGCTAATAAAAACAGTTGCCACTTTGAAAAGGTTCAGATGCTTCCTGCATTTAGAGAGCCACAGGTGGTCCTAATAAATTGACCACAGGGTATGTGTCTCTAATAAAATGGCCACAGGTGTTCCTAATAAAGTGGTGTTCCTTTGTGGTTCAGGACCTTTTTAATGCCTCGGATAAGACACGTTGTTACTTTGGTGATCAAACCCTGACAGACGAGAGCTGCTGAGCGACGTCATCACCCTGAGTCGTGACCAGCTCCATCAGGTCATCGGGTCCGTTTCCCTTCAGCGTCTCCAGAGATTCGATCACCTCCACGCTGTTTCCCACACATCGACCGATCGTACTGTTCATGCCGCTGAGCACAGCTGCTGTACGTATGCCCAGGCCGTTTCCTGCTTCCACCTGAAAGAAAAATAAACAGCGAAATCCAAATTTGAGGTCAGCTTTGCCATTAACGGGCTGTGGCATTGGACGCTGCGCTGTAAATTAAACCTCTGAGTTTGGATTAAAATAACCTGTAATAAACCCAATATTATCTCCCCTGTGGTTCAATGCTGTGTTGCTGCATCGCTCCATGCACAGATGTTTCACATCCCTCCCTCCCTCCCTCTTTTATGGTGAAATATTTGAATTGTTGTTGTACTCACTAGCATCTGAGCTAGTTCTGTAGCACTTTCAAAGTCTTTGCAGATAGCAGCTCGTCCAAACTTGACATCCAGCACCAGAGCAGACAGAGACTCGGCTCCTTTCTTTGAGATGATCGAACCTGCAGAAACAGCACAGACGGCTGTAAGCTGACTAGAAAAAACACGGATATCCACGGCAAAATCCAGCCAGGTGCTGGACACCAGTTTTATGTGGGTATCAAAAGATCTGGTTCTTTTCATCAGTTTAAATGGGCATGCTGCTACAACCGCTCAAACTTATGTTCAGGTAGAAATGACCCTCCCCCGAAGGCTGATTGGGCTCACATATCAAGTAAAGAAAGTCTAAATCCTTTCCGCCTGTGTGTCGGGTCCCCTGACCCTCGCAACACACGGGTGGAAAAGCTTAAATTTCTAAAAAAAAAAAAAAAAAAAAACAACACAAAAAAAGGTTTTTTGGCTCTTGAAGCACTAATCCCAGTTTTTACCAGTAACCAGAGGTAAACTGTCCACGGTGCTGGTGATGTCCCGCAGAGCGTACAGGACTCGATCTGCAGGAACCAAAGTCTCTGTCTGACCCACAATGCAACAGCCCACTGAGTCCAGGATCTTCAGGATCTGGAGAAGAACAGCTGAATCAGAGAATGACTTTGAGTGTTTATCACTCTTTATTATCCGTATGTAGTTTTATTTATTTATGAATTTAAATATTTAATTTTCTGTTATTTTTGTACCCTTATCACAAGAGCTACCATTGGAATTAATTAACAAATTTCAGTAAAGATGTCAGTGTCCTTGTTTCCCCAAACAGTCAATAGTTTCATCTGTTTAGTTTTTTTTTAAGAGCCAGCAGGGGGCCACTCCTCTGGTGGTTAAACAGAAGAGACTTACTCACTTTATTTTGACTATTAGGAAATTCTTTCCTTTTGAGTAAATGGTCTCAGTCAATAGATTCGACTCTTGAATATTTAAAAAAAAAGACACTTTAAAAAGTCTCATCCTCATTCGCCAATGACATGTGACTGACAAGAGGTGAGCCAATGAGCATGCAGTGTTGCAGTATGCAGTGTTTGTCACTGTGGCTATATCCATCTATTATATACAGTCTATGCCATCCTTGAGCCCAATTTAATATCTGAAAATCTTTAGAGCCTTAAACTTTTAACATAACTTAATCAATGATCCTCACGTGAGCCTAAAGAGGCGACACAGGAAGTTATTCACTTGTTCCAGGGTCTAGTTGCCTGGCAACTCTGTTATGTGAGCCAACAGTATCCTTGGCTCTCATTGGTAGTTGGCAAATTGAACCGCCCACTCCAGTGGACCAGTGGTTATTTACCTCATAAAATCAAAATATTTGATATAAAAAAAAAGATTTTTAAGTATATTTATTGTAATTGAGCTCTTGTGAATCACATGCAGTACCCTCATGGCCCACCAGGGGGGGTGCAAAGTGCTTCAGTGTGTTTTCCCCCCAGAGTAACATTTTGCTGACATTTATTAAAAGTTAAAACTATTAATTTTTAAAACTATATGTAAATATATGTGAGCCAGAACAGCTCGCTTCACCTGCTCTCTTGATTGCTCCACCTTGAATCCTGGAATTGATTCCAGTTTATCAAGAGTTCCTCCTGTATGAGCCAAGCCCCGCCCACTGATCATAGGAACCTGTGGACATGGACTGAATTAATATTCCTAATATGGTAATCTCACATTTTGAGAAAAGGAAGACACACCCACCCAAGTAAATCACCTTCTACTAATGTGGGGTAACAAATTACAAGAAGTTTGTTTAAAAGGGGAGGAGCTTAAACAGAACCGGGGGCTGCACTGTGTCCCAGTCTAAAATAATATTAATCATGTAAATCTAGCGCAGTCCAGCTGGGCATGAACAGAATGGGTTCACTTTAACGTTTTAACCAATCAGATTTCATCGTTAAAGTCTATACCTTACAGCCGCAGGCAGCTAGCGCTGGCGCTAACACCAGACTGACTTTATCTCCCACCCCGCCAGTCGAGTGTTTGTCCACCATAAAATCTTTCCACTCATCGGGCCATTCCATCACTTCTCCCGATGACATCATCTCTCGGGTCAGGGCCTTAATCTCGGCGGAGACCATCCCATTCAGACAAATAGCCATCAGCATGGCCCCTTAAATATAAAGAGTGGGAGACGTTAAAGATGCAAAGGAGGAAATGTGAATGCATGTCAGATGGTTTGTACCTGTCTGAGAGTCCTGAATGGTTTTCTCTTTAACGGCCTGGATGAAGGCTTTGATCTCGTCATCACTTAACTGTCCTCCATCCCTCTTCTTCCTGATCAGATCTGGGATTGTTATCATGTCTGCTAGAAGTAAAAACATTACAAGTCTGTTGAGACCTAAAAATTTTCAATCATTCAGTGACCAGGATCTGGTTTTATTAATAGTTCTTTCCTGTGTACTTGTTTTTCCTTTTTCTCTGGATTTTAAAAGACAGGGCCAAAAAAACTGAAACACAAACAAAGTAGATTAACCTCCTAGCAGTACTGAGAAGGCAACACAGTTTGAGTTAAGGCATTAAAACAGGAATCAATCTGTTTGAGCTGCCACATCATCTTTCTCATTTTATAAAGACAAATATATCAACATGGAGAGTTTCTGTTACTGACTTTCCTAAAAGATTAAAAAGTTCAAATTTTATGTAATTAATTGACAATTAAGTAATAAAAAATAGTATATAAAGTAAAAAAGCATCAAAAAACAATTCTTTTCAGGAATAAAAGTTAAAACTTGCACAATTAATTAACTCAGCACTAATTGTGTAAAACAGCCAGTCACACGCCCTGTTCCTCTGAATCATCTTTCTGAAGAAGCTGGTGGAAAGCCACCTGTCCTACATAAAGCTGTTTCATACATCACCTCTGCTTCCTCTGCAGCACTTTGTAATCGAAATGCTTACCACACAGCCAGCTTCTGGTGCAATGCAGATTAACAGCGCAGCAGCACGATGGCAAGTTTCTCTCTCTCTCTCTGTGTGTGTGTGTGTGTGTGCAGCAGCTATAAATGGACTCAGCAGAAACAACATCAGGATGAGCATCTAGTTCCCCCAGCAAAAAATCTTTCACAGACTCACTTCTTTTGCAAAGGCAGAAAAAAATTAATAGCCAGCTAGCTTTGTTATTTTTGATATTATCATTATTTTTTAGCCAGCTGTAAATCTTTTATACACCCTCTGTGACTCAAAGGACCAGTACTGCCATGACTCCAGTTTATTGTTGGACTCATAAAGTCAGAGGTGGCTCTGCTGGTGAAAGTTCAGTACTGTGCAAAGGTTTTAGTCACTTTAGACATTCAGCTCCTTATCTGTATCACACAGAAACATCGGGGAGATATAACAAATCATCACGTTACAGGCAAAAGAACAATAATAATACATGTGTTTGGCACCTAATTAGCAAAATAAAGCCTTTTGACTTGTTTTTGCTTTTATTGTCTCCACTTCCTCTTCTCTACCTTCTGAATTCCCAAATAAACCAACCAATCAGCGCATCTGTTTAAACTCTAAAACAACAATAGGAACGATAATGAACACTTTAAAAACTTATTAACAAACAGCCTTAATCCATTCAGCCCCTGCAGATTTTCTGTTAACCATACCGACCTCTAACCACAGGTAAAATTTAACAGTTCAGCTCTGAAGAAGAGGAAAACATCCCTGTTATGAGAGTAAGACAGAGTCAGAGTACAGTACCTGGTCTGATGTTTGCAGTCTGTGAAGTGGCATCGACCCCGTGGTCCTTCATAAAGTGAGTCTGTCAGTCAATAG